TGCATTTTGCTATCTTCTTTTAAAATGTTGAAGGTTTTTCTTTTTTTTCTGGCAGGCTTGATCCTGTCAAGACTACTTATAGGGCTTATTGGGATAGGACTAATATAGTATAGTATAGCCTACTTTTAAATATGGCCTCTCTGGAGTTCCAATCAATGCCTAAGATACAGTGATCTGGCTGTACTCTGGCTCATAGTTCCATTTTATCTCAGTTATATGTGGCTACCATCATATGTTTAGCTCTTAGGCTTCCTGCAGCTATTTGGTTGTGGGCTACCATATCTGTATAGCTTAACATTCAGACTTGCATGCAGATCTCTGCAGCTTCGCCCTTCTTTCCTGTATATTTTATCACAAATTCTAGCTTTTTTTTTTTTTAAAGAGAGAGTGAGAGAGGAGAGAGAGTGAGAGAGAGAGAGAATTTTTAATATTTATTCTTTAGTTCTCGGCGGACACAACATCTTTGTTTGTATGTGGTGCTGAGGAGCGAACCCGGGCCGCACGCATGCCAGGCGAGCGCGCTACCGCTTGAGCCACATCCCCAGCCCAAATTCTAGCTTCTTAAGAACCCCAAACCTAACACACGTTTTCTCCACCCCACAAAACTTTTGCTCTCTCTTTGGGTTCCACTTTCACCCATCACTTTTTGGCAATTGCATAGGCAGAAAACTGAAGTCTATGTGGGGCACATCACTTATATTTTCCTCCTTTCAAAGATCACTGTCCTACGTTTGTTGTCCAATGACAAAAAACGCTGCCTCATCTATGTTGTCCAGTTTTATAACTGATATAATAGGAAGGCAAAGGCCATTAGCCATTAGCATCATGGCAAGAACTAGAAGTCCTAATTTTGTCTTTATCTTTGTTTTCTCCAGACTTAGAGCTGTGTCTAGAACTAGGTGCTTGAAGTTAGTTACATTCATTTTGTATATAACCTGGTCAAGGGAACATGGCAGAGTACCACACAGGTCCTGGGTGGCGTGGTCTGGGCTATTCTAGGCTGTCTTCCGGGGGCTTCATTTTCTTCTCTTGTGGTTCTGAAGGGGGCATCAAAGTTCGCCCCACACACCCTATGGAAAGAAGCCTTAAGTTCCCCATGAACTTTTTCTTCCCTCCTTTGTGAAATTGACACCCACACTTGTGATGAAACCACATTTAACCTTTTGGGATGTGCTTTGAGGGACTGTGGGGGAAGCACGGGGAAATGTCCAGGAGTTTTCAGAACTGTCTTCTTAGTTTTCTTCTTCGTTTAAGAAAGCCACAGAAACACTGCTTCAAGCATCTGTTGATGAGATCAGGAGTTATTTACCTGGTTTCTTTCTCCTGTTTTCTCCTAATGATTAGCTTGATCCTCCCGGAGCAAATATTTACTGGTATTCGTTCTTTCTAGTTGATGCTGAAATACTGATTTCTATTTAAGCCATTTTCTGGGAGTGGTTGGAGGAGCAATGGGTTTAGGAGATTGTGTCAAGGTCAGAGATGTAAACAGAAGGCCTTGAAGTTCTATTGCTTATGAGATGAGCGTCACTGGTCAGTTTTCTGTAGCTCCCTGAGCTTTAGTTTCTTTGTGTGTAAAATAGGAATAATAATGCCTATCCCCCAGATGAGGTGCCATGAGTTCACAAGGGTGAAGCACCTACACTGTACTTGCCGTAGGGGAGGTTCTCTGTCACGGTGAATGTTCCTTTCCTTTTCCTTGGACTTTTTTTCTTTATCTTTTTGTTGTTGTTGTTGATTGAACCTAGGGGCACTTAGCCACTGAGCCACGTCCCCAGCCCTTTATTTTATTTTATTTTATTTTATTTTTATTTTTATTTTGAGGGCCTCGCTAAGTTGATGAAGCCGACCTCAAACTTGTGATCCTGCTGCCTCAGCCTACCGAGCTGCTGGGATCAGGTGTGTGCCACCATGCCTGGCTTCCCTTGGACTCTGTTAAGAAGAGGATGGGGGAGAGAGGACCAGGGTAGTAAATGACATTGGTTAAGAGCATGGTTTTGCAGTCGGCCAGAACTCTGTTCAAGTCTTGGCTACTCACCTCATTACTTTGGGTCTGTGGAAGAGTCACAGCAAACCTCAATTTACTCAGCTATAATACGGAGGTCACAATTCTTGATTGATAAGATTATTGTGGGATTGAATAAAGATTGAGTACATTGGAAATGGCCACCTCTGTTTGTATGATGGCAGGTGCTCAGAGGTCCTCACATCAGTTAGCTCTCAGAACATGCTCTAGGATCAGCGGCTGGGAGGTCTGGGTTTCTCCCATTCTGAGCCAGGCAGGAGAAAAGGCTTAAGGTCCTAGGGCTCCTTCTTCTCTCTTTTTGTGAGGGAGTGTGGGGCCTTGGTGAGAGTGTGAGTGACATCTGAATTTATATTTCTGCAAAACATAACTGATTAAAATGTAATTTGGATTTCCCACAACCTGCTTCCAGACTCTTTTGTTCTGGGTGAGATCCTCTGAGAAGGTAGGGTTAGGAAACTGGCAGACAAATGCTTGTGGGGGCCGGAATTCACACTAGAAAACTGTGGCCAATAGTCTGTCCCTTAGACTTTATTAGGATACACTTTATGCTAGTGCCCAAGAGTAAATAAGATGCCATTTCATGGGGGAAAGACAGACAAGCAGAGAGTGAGCCTGTGATGGGGATGGATGTCTGGGAGCCCTGATGGGTCATTCAGGGAAGCTTCCCCAGGCCAGGTGACATCTGAGCTGAGTGTTGAAACATGAATAGGAGTTCACCACAGGGATGGGGTGACAATGTTCCTGGAGTGAAAAGTGACCCAAGAGCTGGGAAAAAGCATGCAGAAGTTTAGTGTGCACCCGCTCACAAGACCTGAGTATTAAGTTTTCAGGAATTTCATGAGCTGGTCACTAAATACAGCCATGGTTAAAAATGAAGTGAGATAAACTTACCTAGAAATAAAGAATATTAAAACAAGAATCAGAAGTACCCCACATTGTTCCTTCCTAGTCATCACTACCTTATTCTGTCATCCAGCCTCTTGAGGGTGTCCAATCTACTGTTCCCTACTGTCCCCGTGGGGTGGAAGTTTTACTCAGCAGGTGTGTGACTCTGCCTCTCCTCCTGACTCTCCATTCAGTGACAGCACGTGGTTGCTTGAAACTCGTCACAGTGGAAATATTTACACCACAGATATTGGCAAACAGCACACATGTGGGCCTCAATGTGGAGAGCCGGTTGTTGGCCTTCATCAGCACACCACTGCCTCCAATGTGGGGTGGTGGGCCTAGGGGTGAAGCTGAGAGGTTGGGAGGGACTGAATCAGGAAGAGCTTTGGATACCGAGTTCAGGAGTTTGCATTTCCCTCTAAAGGTGAGAGGAAGCTTCTACAGCATTTCAAAATAGAAGAACCATCTTATCTGTCCCCTTTGGCTGCTGTGTGGTGGAGGGCAGGGGTGGGCCTCACA